CGGGAGGTGCCTCCGGGAGGGGAGCGGGGGCGAGGCGGGACAGGGCGCTGCTGGCGGGGGCAGGCAGAGAGCTCCTGGCGGGGGCGGACGGACGGACAGACAGACAGCTCCTGTCGGGGGCGGACAGACAGACAGACAGCTCCTGGCCCCAGAGACCAGCCGGCCGAGAGCCTCCTGCCCGCCGTGCCCGTGCTAGCCCGCATCGCTTTGGTGCCACAGCATCCTTGGGCTGTCGCTGCTGCGACAGTGCCACTGACCATCACCCTTAGACATCCCACCCCCCGCTCCATCCCCGGTGCCCGGTGTGTGGGGACTAAGGCGAGCAGTGACAGTCGGGGCAAAGCCAAACTTACCCCCTGATGCTGGAGCTGGGCACGGCTGCTGGTCCCACCAGCGCAGGGGACACGCTCTGGGCTGCAGGACACGTCCCCAAGCTGGTGTCTCTGTCCTTCGCTGCAAACCAGGATGGAGCACGCTGGCTGTGTTTCTCTGGATGCTCATGAAACGCTGGGATAAAGGCTGTGCTGTTTACTGAAAGACATAATGGCTGTCGAACATTATTACTTTCTCTTTTGCAATATAAAACTAGCCGGGGAAACTTAAATACAAAAAAGGTGGCATTTGGGCTGCATTTTGAAAATTAGTACGTCTTTTCCATGCTTTCCTGTATTTGCCTTTGCAGTATGGATTTATAAATACATGCCTGAAGTCTTTGGTGGTTGAAAAGTACGGTGAAGAAACATGGGAAAAATTAAGGTAATCTGTTCCCAATAAATTGAGTGTATTGGGAAAAAAATGCTCAGGAATTTAGCAGCAGAGGATTATAATGTCTCACTGGTAAACCACAGCTGATGTGTATCTCAAATAATTCTTAGATGTAACTAGCAGGGCAAAACCAGGAGCTTCTTACCTTGTAACACGTCATACTCTGACACTAATTTGTCCCAATTAATTTGTTTTATCAGATAATTTAGGATGACATTTAGTCTTATAGACAGTTGTGCAATAGACTCGCTGGCTCACTGTGACAATATTGAAAAGTAATTACACTGGAGAGATGTCATCCCTGATATGAAGTCTGTTTAATTCCAGTACTTTCAGAAAAGCAGCTAAAGATAATCATCTTCTCTGGTTTTGTCTTTACTTTGTGAGCTGTATGGTACTTTCCAAGATATAAAGATATAAAAATGATACTTAGATGCATACATATAATGGCCATTGAAGCCAGTATAAAAAAATGGACAAGGTTTTGGTCATGTCTGTGGAGACCCAAGAGCTTGATATTGTGGCCACATTGAAGAGCAAGCCAGTAAACCAGAAGACCAATTAAGACTCTGTTTTCTCTAGCCCCATCCCCCCAGTATGATGTCTTAATCTTTGAAAGAGCTTACTGAAATACCATAACGTGAAGTAGCAGAAACGGAGAGGTGGACACCACCATTCAGCCATGTTAAAGCAACACTCTTAAACCCTTAGGGGAAGTAACATGTTCCAATATAAGGCCTGAAGGAGGTTAAAGAGTGGGTTAACAGCAAACAGTGCTTAATGAATGCCAGTTGGGTCACCCAAGCATGTTATATTTACAGCACTGCTGAGACAAGAATATTGTCTTCTCTGTTGCAGACTGCAGGCTGGAGTCCAGGATTCCTTCTTGACTTTTGAGGTTTACAAAGATGAGATCACAATGCAGCTCGTTGACAAAGCCTGCAAAATATTAGGTATGTGTCACCACATCTCACAAATAAACCGTCCAGAGTGAAGCCTGAGTCTGCAGCCCAGGTTTTAGTCTCATGTGCTCTTTGGAGTGTCCTCTGTACGTTGCAGAATTTCTGCATTCACTCTTAATCCACCAGACAGCATTTCAAGAACTTCCAAGCCTTTCTTATCCATTAAGGTATCTTTGTTTTGCCAGGTGTTCCTGCTGACATGGTGCTGAGAGAGTTTGGAGAGTATTTCTTTGAATTCTGTAAGCGCTCAGGCTATGACCACATGCTGAGGACACTGGGTGGAAATCTCTATGAGTTCATAGAGAACCTGGATGCATTGCACAGCTACCTGTCCCTTTCTTACCAGGCAAGTTCCAGTAGTAATTACTGAGCAGGTATGTGTGGACTCTGCCAGAGTTCAGAACCGAAGGAACAGCATCTCATAGGTGGGAACAAATGATGGAAAAAGATGCAATGACAGGCTTTCCCACGTTCTGAAACATATTACTCCAAAATGTTAGGACAACTTTTTATAATAATTTTTTCTGAGTAGTCCTCAACATTAGATATTATTTAGTATGTTTTCTCTAATGCATAGCATATTTTCCTTCACAGATAAGCATATTTAATTTTCTATATTTCAGCTTATTCAGATTACTGCTTGTTTTATTAAGACATGTGATGCTTTTGTACAGGTGGAATTCACTGGCAAAAGACACTGAAATTTTGTTTTCCTTTGTTTTTCCTCAGGAGATGAATGCCCCATCTTTTAGAGTAGAAAAGAATGAAGATGGGTCAATGCATTTACATTACTATTCAGATAGAAGAGGTCTGTGCCATATCGTACCAGGTAATCAGAGAGGATGCAGAGTACAGAGCAGCTGTTAATGCAATATGTACACAGAATAATCGTATATTCGCAGATAAACCTCTGCTCCGGTTTCAGAATCTGTTTTCAGATGAGCACTGGCCATGGAATTGAAGCCTGGTAGGGCTTAGTCACCAGACATCTGACCTTGGTATTTCCCTACTCCCTGATCACTCCTAGCTCCCAGTAGTTTCATCAAGATTTATGATACGACAACCCAGGCCATAAGTCTCCTTTCCTGCTATAGAATTCCTATAGAAGTCCTACAGAATTCCCTTCCTGGAAGAAAAATTAAAGTTCATGGTGTGTCTAACTGTCAATTAGTTGTCAGTGACTCATGCTCCTTAAATTACAGTGAAGTACAAATTATAGTTGATTTGAAGACATCCAGCCAGCCTGTAATACATATTCCATGCAATCTGTAAAGGTACTATTGAACCCTGTTCAAAACTCAATCTTCTCCTGGCATTTCTAGGAATCTCCACAGTTGTACTTGTGCGAGTGTTAAACAGCTGTAAGTCTGTAAGAGATGATCATATTCCTTTCATTCATAGATGCTGCTGAATTTAGAAGTTTATCAGAAGCTCTCCCTTTGTCAAAACTCATTTCATATTCCTGTCAAAGCACATAATTATTTGTAATTTCAGACAGAGCTTTTCATGTAATTGTCCAGTATCTCGCCTAATAGCTAAACAGAAACGAGAGGACTGACTGCATCTTCATGAAAGATATTTCCTTCCTTTCAAAAGAAAATATTCTGCAATGATTGAAATAGATTGTTATAATGGAATCTCTTTAGACCCTGTGCATCTTTTTTTGGGCTAATGGGTATTCATATTATTACTATGTATGACTATTTGGACACATTCTTCAGATGTCCTGCTGAGCTTCTTCTAGTGAAAATAGGCATTTGTCATCAGACAAGACAAAAGAAGCAGTAACCTTAAAGCTTATCTTCTGTGCACTTATTCTTATCACGGCAACAGTAGTAGGAACGACATAGGTTGCTTTCTTCTTCCAGAGTCCTTTGGAAAAGTGATTTCTGAAACAGTGAAATTCCACTGTGGGCTCTCTGAAAGGGAAAATGGAAAAGGTTTGTTCTTGGCAATATTTTGTCTTTTGTTTCCCCTTCAGGAATCATTGGTGCAGCAGCCCTGGATTTTTTTAACATTGAGATTTCAATGGAAATAGTCAATCAAACGGAAGAAGAAGAAAGAACTGGGAAAAAAGAACATATTGTTTTTCTTGTCACTCAAAACCCTGTATTTTCATACAAGGAAAGAAACGAATTTTCTTCCTCATCTCAATACCTTGCTGACTCTGAAAAAAGAATTGAGAACCGACTGAATAAAGAGGTATTTTAATATTCATTATCACTGTATTATTAAAATAATGATTAAAATAAAAACATCCTTGAATTTCCCTTTGGATTTATTTCAACAGGACCTTGAAAAAGCCAAGAACACAATTAGAGACAGAGGAAGCTCTGTTTGTCCTGTCAAGAAAAGTCACTGGAAAACAATAAGAGGAATAATCACATTAGGAAAAGGTGAGAAATCATTCAGAGGGAGCTTGTCATCATCTCTGAGTCTCTTCAGTAAGAAAGTCAGTAAGCCTCCCTACCTCCACCCACACATCCGTTTTGAAGTTACCATTCATATTTCCTCTGTGTCTTTTCAAAATGTTTCGGTGAAGTTTCCTTCAGTTAGACATTGGAAATGAAAGAAAAATTGCAGATAATAAGCACGCTTAGTAATGACACGTACTTAAATGGAATATGAACTGTCACTTTTGTCTGTTAAAGAAAGTGTTCTGAAAATACTTCTGAAAAGTATTCTTCTATGAAATGTCATTGTGTACTACATGTGATACTTCCTTCTCATGTCACTTGGTCGAAGATGATGAATTTAAAAGAGTGTTTTTTAACAGGGTAGCTGCTACTCCTTTCCAAAGTTATCAACCGTAGTAAGTTCTGACAGCCAAATTACACCCTTCACTACCAAAAATCTACTGCTAATCTAATAATCTTTGCTTATACCTTCATATGTTATATGTCTATATATGTTCATAAAACGGAAGAATTTTTTCAGTTAGGATCTTTGGATTCCCCAGGAGGAATGAGAATCCAGCTGAGTACCACCAAGGTGTTTGGATTCTGGGAGGAGTGAAAAATTGAACCTGATAATATCCGGTGCAATGCCACATGCATTACAAGAGCAGATGTCTTGAGTAATAAATTAATAAATATTCAAAATTAAATTTTAGAGTAGCATTTTTACTCAGAAAACCCCAACTCTAACAATAAATGCAAGAGTTATCAAGAGCCAGATTTTGAAAGATAAAAAAATGCACATTGACTTCCCCTGAAGCAGTAAGAGGTCTAAAAATTGGGTCCTAAGTTTGTAATCTTTTTCACCAGTCTCCTAAGTGACTTGAGCACTTGTTATCAAGCAGAATTTACTAGAGTAACTGTCATAACCACCTTCTGGGGCAAAGAGATCACTTGAAATAATCATCCTTTGCATTACTGTGGAATGCTGGAGAATCCAAGTTTATACTGTGAAGATCAAAGGCTTTGGGTGCTTCAGTCAGAGGAGCACTTTTGACTATTTTTACTCACTCATTTTACAAAAATGTCTGTTCGCCAGCAAGCACAACCTGCTCTATAGATCTGTGACCATTTTGAAAAAAAATCAGGGTAAGTAAAATAGAAACAAAGAGTAATTTGGTCTTTGTGCTACGGACTAGAGTTACTTGTACAGGAGACTGAAACCCAGATCGTGCTGGGTCTTTTCTCCATAAATGTTCCTTAGTAGCTGGCAAAGTCTATTAAATCCACTTCTGCGTACATTTTTGTGGGGATATAGCTGTGTTACATTGCTGTGACATCTGCAAATTCATAGAGCAGCAACATCTACAGTTGGTCATCTATTCTTATTGTTTCTACATAATTTCATGCATCTAACGCTCTGTGCTTTTTTGTGTGGTTAAGTTTTAAATTCTCAGCCGACTCAGATTAGTTGCTAATCAGCAGTGTATCAAAACAGCTGCAGACCATTTAGCACAGATATGTGCCCATTTCTGGACCCACATGCTGTTTACTTTGTCTTCACTCATTATGATACAGGGTCCTGTCTCACTGTGTGCTAAAAAGTAATGCTCGCTGCTTTTATGAGGTGCAACAGGATTAAAAACTGCATATTTACCTTGCCACAGGTAAGCTCCTGAGAGGATTTGATCCGGTTTATCCCAAGAGCCTCTGGGTTGACACAAAAACATTTTGCAATGGACTTCCTTTTCATATGGTTTTTGACAAAGAGGTAGGAGAAGCCTTTGCTGTGCATAAAACATGTAGCTATTTTCTGCTGGTTTGACTGTCCTGCAGTTCACTGCTGCGTGTGCTCTGGAAACAGGGAGACTCATTTGCAGGACTTGCAGAAGTGCTCTGTACACAGACACGATATAAAAGTCACTCATAACAACTGGATCATTTCAGATAGGAATCTCCTGTGAATTTATTGAGATTATCACGTCTGAAACAGCTGCAGATAAGCCAACAAGGTGTACTGCAGCAGTCTATCCATTACCAAACACCAAACAGAATTTTCTGAGGTTTCTGGCCATCTTTGTGTCCTTGGATATGCTGGAGACACAACCCATCCTTTAAAAAGGATTTGTACTTACAGATAATCACCCACTCCTCCCAGTTATTAATTTATCCGAAGGCTTTTGTAAGACTCTGCTGGTGACTGAGGCTCTACATGCTTCCAGAGTCTACTTGGACAGGATTCTGCTGTGAAAACCTAGCTACATACAAAATCGGGCAGCATGCAACCCCATCTAGTAGGAACTGGACCCAAAAATCTCTTTACCTTCTGTGGGAGGACTGAGTGTCCTCTCCTGTGCACACATACTCTGCAGCAACTGAATTGTCTTTCCTTGGCAGGTGCTGCTCCATGGCTGGTTTCCAGCTAGCCTGGGTTCCCACCAAGCTGCAGTTCCTCTTGCTCCCAATTCCATGCAGGGAATATTGGCTTAGGACAGGAGCAAAGAGAGGAGAAGCTGAGAATAGGACAGCAGAAGAAAGCTGAACACACTCAGGGAACACCTTTTGGCATCATCCTGACAGAGATTCCAGAGCACAGTCTGCTGCATGCCACTGTCCACATTAGCCAAAGTTCAGAGGTTTAAACCTTTCAAGACATCCAGTCTGCATAATTTGATAAAATTACTAGTGTGGGAAAAGGGCAAGTCCTGCACCCATTATTGGTAACCAGGTCAGAGCTTTATTAACTCTCATGATAAGCAGTGATGGCAGAGTGCACATTTCTGCAGGAGTTAAGATGGTCAAGCAGGCTAAAAGAGAATGACTAAACCTTTACACAGCAATGGTTAAGAGAAGGTGTGGCATCCATTAGAAAATTAATATTTGCCAAAAACGTTTTATGCCACAGTTACTTTCTTTTTGGAATGCAGGACATGCCCTGGTATCTCTAGTTCTCTTTTGCAGCTACCTGTAAGGCTATTTGTTAGGCCTACACAAACCCAAGCAAGGATAATAGCAGATAGCTTTGTTTTGGTTTTAACAATTGATAGGGAAGAGCACTTGGATAATAACATTCCTTTCTGGGGACTTTGTCTTGCTACGAAGGACACTCTTTCAGAGCTTTGCAGTAATATGCTAATAAGATAGAAACTTTGCTCAGAAATAAGCTGTGTAGTTATAGCAAGGCAAAGTGTGTGTATGTGTGTAAACAGTGAGGAGCTATGGCTTGGCCTGAACCCAAACAGGATATGAATTATAACACATTGTCCATATTTTCTTTTTAAGCTCAGAGTGAAGCAAGCTGGGGTGAGCATTCAAAAGATAGTACCTGGCCTTCAGACCATGGGCATCTGCTTGGATCACTATTTCAGTATCGTTCACCCAGAAGTACCCTTCACCATCTCTAGCATTCAGAAATTCATCAACAGCCAATTTGTTTTCCAAACTAGAAGAGAGATGATGCCAGAGTCATGGAAACAACGGCCAATGCTAGAGCTGAGAGGTACTTCACTGTTTTCAATAGCATAAGTGTTCATATTAATTCAGGAATTATGCTGGAGCTGAACTAATGCCTTTCTGTGGACTCCTGGCTTTACATAAGTCCTATAAATGACCTTGTCTTTGTGCAGTGAGGGGAGGATTAGGTGATTCTGTTTAGAGAAACAGTACTTTAAGATGCTTATAGACAAATTCTGCTGTCACCTCACCAGGTTTTGAAAGCTGTCAGTCAGAAATAACACCACCACTCCCATTTGAAAGGCTTCGGAGGACAGTGCTTTTCTAATGCTGCAAGCCCCACGTCTTTGCAGCTTTCCTGAGTAACAGGGGCAAAGCCAAGGGAGATTGTTTTCTGAACCACCTCTCACCTCAGTTATTCACGGAGTCGCAGAATTGACTCAAATCCTGTTGAGTTTGGAAGGGACTTATGGTGATTGTCTAGTCCATCCATGCACAAAGCAGGGTCAACTACAGCAGGTTACTCATGACCATGTCTAGTTGGGTTTTGAATATGTTGAAGGATGGAGACTCCCCAATCTCCCTGGGTGATCCATTCCAGTGTTTAACCACCCTTACAGTAAAAAGGCTTTTTCTTAGATTTAAACGTAATTCCTACATTTCAATTAGTGCCCATTGTCTCTTCGTCTTGGGTACCACTGAGAAAAGCATTTTTCACTCCCTCCTGTCAGGTATTTATACATATTAATAAGCTCCCCCTGAGGCTTGTCTTTTCTAGGCTGAACAACCCCATGTCTCTTAGCTTCTCCTTTTATGACAGATGCTCCAAGCCTTCCCAGGTCCTCCATCCTTTGCTTTTGAAAATAGGAGAGACATGTACTTTCTTCCAGCCCTCAGGAACCTCCCCTAGTCACTATGACTTTGAAAACTAACTGAGAGTGGCCTTGCAATGACACTGGTCAGCTCCCTCAGCGCTCCTGGGTGCATCACATCAGGTCTCATGGACTTCTCTATATCCAGTTTGTTTAAATGCTTACTAACCTGAACCTCCTGTGCCAATGGTAGGTCTTCATCACTCCAGGCTTCCCGCTGGTCTCAGAGCCTTGAGATTCCTGAATGGTGATTCTTACCTGCAAAGACTGAAGCAAAGAAGGCATTGAGTACCTCAGACTTTTCTATGTCCTTTCTCAGCAGATCACTTGCCCCAGTCAGCAGAAGGCCCACATTTGCACTAGTCTTCCTTTTGCTGCTCATATATCTGTAGAAGACCCTCTTGTTCCACTGGGGTGACCTAACTTTCACCTCTTGTATTCTTTCTTTTTTATGATTGAGTTTAGTCAGGAGCTCCTTGTTCAGCCACGCAGGCCCTTGCTATGTTTGCTTGACTGATGGCACATTGGGATAGACAATTCCTGAACTTGGAAAAGGAGATCCTTGGAAATCAACCAGCTCTTCTAGATCCTTATTGTTTCCAAGATTGTATCCCATGGGATTCTTCCAAACAGATCCCTGAATAGGACTAAGTACAGTCTCCTGAATTTAAGTCTTGTGATCTTGCTTTATTGCCTTATTCACTCCTCTCTGGTTCCTGCACTCCACCATCACACAGTCGTTGCAGTCAAGGCTGCACCCAGCTTTCACATCTATAGTTCTTCACTGTTTATAAGTATCAGATCTAACAGGACACCTCCCCTTATTGGCTCATCAGTCACTTGTGTCAGGAACCTCACCTATCAGTGCCTCAGTGCACTCTAGAAACCTTCTTAATTGCTCGTGCCCTGCTGTGTTGCCTGTCTAGCAGGTATCGAAGTAGCTGAAGTCCACCATGAAGCTGCCTCCACTTGTCTTGAGAAGGTCTCATCTACTTTTTCTTCCTGAACAGGGCATCTGTAGCAGATGATATCCATCACAACACCACTCACTCTAATCCTTATCTGGAAGCTCTTGGCTGGCTCATGATCCAGCCCGGGGCAGAGCTCCTTGCATTTCCCTTGCTCTCTCACATAAAAGGCAGCTCCCCCTCCTTGCCTGCCTGTCCTTTCTAACGAGTCTGCCTTCATTCTTTGCTCCAGGTGTGTGAACTACCCCGCCTATCCTCTATGATCCCAGTGCTTCACTGGGAACCTGTGGAAGGGACACAATGCCAGCCCTCAGAGCCACCTTCTGCTTATGGAGCCACTGGGCTCAGCATGGAGATGCACTGAGCTGTGTAAAAGTAACTGTCCAGGTCTCACTTCCCCGTATCTCTACACATGAGTCTATGCAGCCAGCACAGAATCGCTTTCCCTTGCTAAGAGTTTTCTTTGCCAAAGAAATTACTGCTTTGTACATTTAACAGCATTTTAAACCCAGCCACCCAGCAGGGATTGTGCCAGTCCACCCATCCACGGCTCTGGGATTGCATCTCTGGCACATGCAGGCGGCGATGAGATGTGGGGTGGACATTCCCACAGTAAAACACCGCAAGCATTGCTCCAGCCTCTGCCCCCTTCCCCTCTGCCAGGAGAGGGACCAGGGGAGAGCTGGTGACACTGGTACAGCTGGAGGAGAGAAACGGCTTCCCCTGCGCCCCCATGCATTTTGATTACTAAAATGCGAACACATGATTCATTCTTCATTTATGCCTTTGAGGGGAGTTATTTGCTACTGGCTGGGTTTCAAATGGGCATAAAAATAGATTAGTTCACTAGGCTTTTATTTTTTGGAGTTGCATTTTCAGATTCTGATTTCTGTCTTCATCCCCCCCAATGTTACATAAGAGTTTACCAGTTAAAATACTTTAGCAAAAACCATATTTTTTAGCTTTATTTTTTCTAAGAGGAATGACAATGGAATGATTCTCTGCTTCCTGTAATTAACTTTAATGACATTTGGTTTAAGTGTTCTGTGACCTCAATTTTGCTTCTCTGAACTGTATAATATGACCTAATTTTCCCTTCTTTCCTTTCACCTTTACATAATGAGTGTCACACCCGGTATTCCTGAGATTCAGAAAACATTGAGAGTTTAGGGAGACTGAAAAAAGTGATGTTACCAAAACAAGGAATTTAAACTAGTCACAGGTACAATCTTACTTCCTCTTATGCTGTCAGGGTTAATTCACATGATACCTTTGATGTTCCAGTCCTGTTAGTTGTCAAGCTGTTCATCCGGTTACCCCAGGGATGGGGTGAGAGACAAAGAAAGAAAGAGGAATTCCTAGATCACTGTTCAGAAACCAAAGGTACTTATGAAGCAGATAAAGAATAATAATAATAAAATATGAAAAAAATCAAACCCATAATCAAATCTCAATAAAGAAAACAAAAACTCAATCGCCATCAAAAATCTCTTCTACCTTTCAGGCATTTTTGTACCTGCTTATTTAGATGATCCCAGTGACTGAACGCTCCAGCTTCCGGGAAGGAAGGTTCCCTTGACTTTACTGGGCACCACATATTACTCACTGTGAAGTTAAACTTTAGATGTTTTATTTAATCTTTGTGAGTCTCAGATCCCCTGTGCATGATGCTGACTCACTGGCTTCAGGAACATTTCAAGAACTAGTAGCACAGCAGAGAAGAGGACAGGCGAGATGTGAGCACTGGGGTTCCTCGTGAAGAGGAGGGACCAGAAACATGGTTGTGCTCTATCTAGCAGTTACAATGAGTGAGGGACTGCTTGCTGGGTCCTGATTTTTTTTATTTACCTAGTGTACCTCCTCCAAAAAAGTCCACCTCTCAGTCCAGGAAGCAGAGTAATTCCTGTAACGACCTGTGATGACCATACAAAAAGCCACTGTCCTTAGAATCCATCCCCCACAATTAACATCAGTAATACTGAGCATCACATGAAAGTCCAAGCTGCTGAAAACTCTTACCGACGCTTGTTTCAAACAGGCCAGATGATCTGGATGGAGTCCCTGCAGTGCATGCTCTATCTCTGCTCACCTTTGCTTCGCTCTTTGCACGAACTGGAGGAGCGACAGATGCATATTGCAGACATTGCACCTCACGACGTGACCAGGGATTTGATTCTTCTCAATCAGCAGCGACTGGCAGAGATGGAGCTCTCTAACCAGCTGGAGAGGAAGAAGGAAGAACTGCGGATACTGTCGAAGCACCTAGAGGAAGAGAAGAAAAAGACTGAAGCTCTGCTCTATGCCATGCTTCCTCAGCATGTGGCCAACCAGCTGAAAGAGGGGAAGCGAGTTGAGGCAGGTGAATGAGTAGGATGCATTCGTGATGCATGATTTGTGCACCAGGTGATGATGATGGAGAGACTGGGGTGCTGGCACAGCCCTATTGCCACTGTCGTGGAGTACATTCTCTACTTGGTGACACTCATGGGTAGGAGGAGGACCACAGATCCTTCATCTCACTGATAACAAACCTTAGACTATTCTTTCAAACAAAATAGCTTCTTTGGAAGTTATTTGCCAAAACTCTTCCTCAGGAGGTGAAAGATGGGAGAAACTGCTCAGTCAGGGAACAAAGTTCAGTGTTTGAACAGGAAACTGAGATTTTGTTTTTAATGTGGGTATATAGGGAAATGAGGGGTCAAAAGTGAAAGGAACAAAGAAATTTGTCTTTCACAGAAAATTTTCTTAATTCCTCTATGCTATCTATAAACCTAGAATCATGATTCCTGTTGTTATTGAGGACTTTGAGGCAAGTAAGAATATGCTTAAATTCCCTTTAGTAAGCACATACATGAAGTTAGGGGTAAAAAGCTAAGGATATCCTTAATATGGATGGACAAAGGGACACATTCAGGTGTCTGGACTGTTTGAGATGTGTGATGATTCTTTTGTTTGATATACTCTTATATTGACATCTCTCTTTCATATCAGCACCCGTATACGAGTATTACCACTGATAGGTCATGAGATCCTAGAAGAATGACAAGAAAGTAATCTTTGCAGATGGGTCTCAAAGAGATGCCGTGATTATCCAGCCATTACAAGTACTTACTGCTGGTCTTTCTGCTCACAGGAGAGTTCAAGGAGTGCACTATATTGTTCAGCGATGTTGTGACCTTTACCAACATTTGTGCCCAATGTGAGCCTATTCAGATTGTTCTCATGTTAAATTCAATGTACCTGAGATTTGACAGACTGACCACGGTGCATGATGTGTACAAGGTATGTACTGAGCGATAAAGGCTATCGAAATAGTCTGGAAAAAGATTTTGGTTTGTTTGGGGATTTTTTTTTTGTTTTTAAATGCACTTAAATTCTCTTCCCCCCAGTGTGACTTCCGATAAACCATAAAATATCACATATTTGTAGTAATCAAACAAAGAAACTAGAAAACAGAGATGTGATTAAATGTGTTTAAAATTTTCAGACAGGCCTGTAATGTCTATGATGGGCTAGAGTCTCTTTCCACAACACTAACGCCAGAATGGCTGTTCTTTCATACATCTCTCTCTCTCTCCTCTCTTAAATGCCTACCCAACATGACAGTATATCCCAGTTTATGGACCAGTTTGAATAATTTTCCTAGTTCTTTTATTCCAACCCATTGTAAATAGGTAACTATATCACTAAGTGTCTCCGGTGGTGTGAAATAACGTTATAAACAATACCCAGATAATATCTAGACTTTGTTTTGCTTCATGGGGATCTTAGACAATGGTATAGATCTCCTGCTGATCCCAAAGAGCATTGAATAGATCTAGACTGTAATGTATGTGTTGTCTCCAAACCATGCTGGAAGGATCGGAGTCTTGGTTGACACATTATAATAGCATTATAACATCTCCAGAGCTACCCAGATTTGTTGAACTCAAGAGCAAGTCCTGACTTTCTGTCTGTCCCCAGCACAATAAATATTTAGGAAGGCAGAAATAGTAAAGGGTGAATCCAACTCTCATTCATTCCTTGCTGAGGCAAGGCATGTGGCTCATCCCGCAATAAATTGTACTGGGAAATCAGAAGCATTTCTGCCTTGGCAAGGAAACTGTATTCAATAATTGAAGTATCCAGGACATGGCCCACAGATTTCAGGATAAATTAGCATCATATTCTATCTAAATCATACATCGTAAGTAAATTATCTGTCACTATAATAATCTCCTTTTGATACCTGTAGATAACTCCTATTAATATTGAAGGAGGTTACCAGGGTACAGAGAGGGAGGATGAGATTACTATTTCAGGGAACTGAGAAAGAAATGAAATATTGAAATTCATCAAAGAAACTTGGCCCAAGCTTATAAACATCTGAAGTTGTGCATAAATCTTGTTAAATTAAATCTCCTACCATGGCCGAAAAATAATTAGAGTATCTATTTGCATTAGTAGTTTTTTTACAGTTGTTTTTAATTTGTTACAGAAAATTACTGGCATTACTATGGGGTTGGCTATCTGAGAGAAGGGATGCACAGGAACATATTTTTCAAGGCTAATGTGCTGAACAGTTTTAAGTCATTCTATTAATGAACAAGACCAAAGATCAAATTATGTTCCCACTCTTCTATTGGTGTTCATCTTTAAGAAATCAAATTAATCTAATTTAAACTAATCTCTTATTTATTGATGGTAAATGTAACAATAAAGTCTCATAAAAGCAGTTTAGAAAATTCCCTTACCATGTAACAGTCTTTTACAGTGAATTTTAAACGTTTGAGAATTCTCTGTTTCAATCAGGCCTATTCCCAGTGAGATCTCTGGTACAGGTATAAACACCAAAGTATTTCTCAGGTGCTTTACCATGCACTCCAAGGAGACTGGATGCCTGAAGGAGGACAAACCCTCTTGGCATTTGTCTCGGAGCCTGCAGCATGTTGTGGAAAAACAGCAGGTTGTAAGGAAGGATGCTCCTGAACTGTTTAGTTCACTTTGCGTTCTTAGGAAGGATGCTCCTGAACTGTTTAGTTCACACGTTGCGTTCTGTGACATCCTGGAGACTGGAGGTTTCTTAATTTTATGTGAACCCCTTAATATCAATAATCCCCAGTGAATAGACTTCCTTGTTCTATTGTGGCTTTTTTTTAAAAAAAGAAGTATGCTTTTAACACTGTCCTGATTTGAGGACCAATTGTGAATTAGAGCTAATTAATAGCATTCAGCTAACAGATAACCTCCTGGCCCAGGAGTCTGTGCCTGGGGATAGCTCTTTGCATATAGGTCTGCCCTGGGTAAGAGGAAGGCAAGAAGTCTGACACTTTCACAGCATCCCTTAATCCTTAGGGTCTCTCACACTGTTACCTAAAATGGGTCAAATAAGCAGGGACAGAATGCACAGAAATTAGTGTGGAGTCAAGGAAAAGATCCCCATCTGAAGGAAACTCAAACATGCTAGAGGTTTCTGATGACTGGAAGCACCTTCTAGAAGAGAGGGGGCGTTGATGCAGGTAAGAAGAGCCCCAGACAGCAAAGCACCAGCCTGAGCAAGATGGCATACTCATATGTTTGTCCCTCTCGATTAAAGGTGGAGACAATTGGCGATGCCTATATGGTGGTAGGTGGGGTCCCTGTGCCTGTGCCCACTCACGCGGAGCGAGTTGCTAACTTTGCCTTGGGGATGATAATAGCAGCTAAAGGAGTGCAGAACCCAGTTTCGGGAAATCCTATCCAAGTAAGTTGTTAATGCAAAGATGCATGTGTGTCTGTCTGCTGCTTGGGTTGGGCTTCTGGTTAAAGCATTGCAGTAAGAGATCCTTCTTACTCCTCTGTGACTTTGGGCAAGGCCACAAGGGTGCATTTTTTCATGAAGAGCCTCTCCCCGTGGATATTTGATACTTTTCTGGTGTCCAGTGTTGTGTTAGGATGAACTTTTAGGTGGCTGGATAGCATGAAGAAAGATGTTAAATAACAAGTGACGTTTTTGGGGGGTGTTTTATGTCTTTGTAAAGATTAGAGTTGGGATCCATACAGGTCCTGTTTTGGCTGGAGTTGTTGGAGAAAAGATGCCTCGTTATTGCTTGTTTGGAGACACAGTGAATATAGCTTCCCGGATGGAGAGTCATGGCGTCCCGAGTAAAATTCACCTCAGCTCCAGTGTCTATCAGTGAGTAACTATGATGGAAACTTTGCCTGTTAAAAAAGCGTGCTAAAAAACACTGCTTTCACAGCTGCAGCTTTCAGATGTAGATGATACTGTCTTTAGTCACTGATTTATGCACCTTATTTGTAAAGAAAAATCACTGCTTCCAAAGAGTTTATTTATTCTGATTATTTCAAATGCACTTGTATATAGAGATAGAGGTTTGAGAGTCTCAATCCTAGAGAGCAAAATATGGGAAAAAATATTTGTGATAGCTTATTGGAAAAAGCAATAGAGTGATGTAGATGTTAGAAAGACGGGTCAGAACATTTAATTTGACATCCTGCATAACAAAAGCTTTAAAATCTCTCTGATTGAGCACAACGATTTGTGGCGAAATGGTTCTATTTGCACTTACTAAGGATTAACTGCAGAAACCACTATCCTATTCATGCAGTAAGTCATTTACTTTTCTAAAACTCATGTCACTAAAAATTAAATACTAAATTTTCAAGAATTTTATGTATGCATAAAATATGTTTGCAAGAGGTGGAAGTGAAGACAGGCTACACAGGAGGAGTACAAAGCCATTGTCTGGGCTCGTAGGAATGACATCAGGAAAGCCAGAGATCAGCTATCATTGAAATGGGCAAAGAAGGTTCGAAGGCAATAAGAGGAGCTTCTGCTATGTTAGCAGAAAAGTCTAAATGGAAGTGTGGACCTGCTGTAGGAGGTGATTTAGTGACAGTGCCCTGAATATAGGCGTGAGTTACTCAAGACCTCTCTCACCTCAGTCTTCACTGACGAGGTCTCAAGGTCCCTGCACCTACAGTCAGAGTTCAAGGAGTAGGTGAAATACCAGTATTGGAAGAAGATCAGATCAGGGGTCTTTTGAGAAATCTCAATCTGTAGAACTGTATGGGGGCAGATGGGATACCTCCAAGGGTAGTGAGAGAGCTGGGTGATAGCATTACAGTGCTGCTGACTGTTGTCTTTAGAAGTTCATGAAGATCAGCAGTGCAGCAAGTGATGAAAGTCAGATGTTACATCTATACTGAAAAATGGCAAGGAGGACAGGCTGGAGAACTATAGGCTGGTTAGGTTCATGGCAGTCCCAGTGAGAATCAAGTCCTCTTGGGAGCTATTTTTGGACGCTTAAGGTGGCAATTGAGAATAGTCTGGATTTACAAAGAGTAAATCATGCTTGACCGAATCCAATTGCTTTCTCTGATGACTGGAGAGAGTTCTGTTTAATTGGTGTTGGCTGCTTCAGTTCTTAATTTCTATTCACTGATCAATAAGAACCCTTCACCATACTGAAGTATTTGACTATGCAATCCATTGATTTTTTGATCAGAGTGTACGTGTAAAGCTGAAAAGCACAGCATGCTTGAATAAACAGTTGAAACAAATCTTCAGTTGTTCACAGATCAATACTGTTTTTCCTGAACTGCTGTGATTTGATTACTTAGATTACAATAGCTCTTCTAAAACATCAGTGTCATTTTTGCTAATCTTGAATTTTTGTGTGTCATTTTGCTTCTGATATTTTAGATGCTTAAAATACAAGAATTTTGAGATGACTGAAAGAGGAGAAATAGAAGTAAAAGGCAAAGGGAAAATGCACACATACTTCCTCATTAGAAATAAAACTGCAACAGAGAATGAGATAATGGGAAGGCCAATGAAAGGCTTAGATTCTGGCCATGAATCTGTCCAGTCCTTTCAAGAAGGCAGAACTGAGACAATACCAAATTGTCATCAGCCAGGTACAGTCAACTTGACACATCTTTCCCTCCTTGAACAGATGAATATTAATACAACTCAATTAAATATTATTTTCTGTTCTTCTTTCAGTTACTCAGACTCAACTAGAGAAGGACCAGACCCCAGCTATTGCAATGAAGTATGTTGATGGCCCCACAGATGTGCAAAACAGCCTCAAAAGAAGAAATCAAGCAAAAATTGCAGATTTAAGAGGTAGGTAGGTAGTTACTGTCTAGCAAAGGCAACAGAAGTAGGAAGTAACTGAGGCTTAATCTTGCAGCTTTGTTACATTCCTCTTCTGAATAATGATTGTTTTACTCAAGCAAGAAATTCATGCCAACATGTCCATGTTGGTGAAACTAACCATCCTGCACACCATTTAGGGCCCAACAAATTCAGCTGCAGAGCAATCCCAGGTGTTAATTGTGCACTAGGGAGAAAGAAGCTAAATAGCTGTCAAATCCTTGCGTCCTTCTGGTAGAGCAAACAGAGCAGATAAATGGCAGACAGCTATTCGCATGGGCACATCCCAGTTGCTTATGTACACATCTGTACCAAAACCTTGCCATACAAACCCAATACATCATCTTTTCCTAGAAAAGCTGCTGTTATTATTTGTAATTATGCAGAAGCCCTCATCAACACTAACCTGAGAAAGAGAGACCTCTCTGGCTATGCAACCTGTTGTTTGTCAAGCCATTCTCCTGCAGGGGGTAGAAGAATTTATTGCCATGCCCATATTCTGCAACCAAAGTTCATTGTCCTCTGAAGTAGCTGATACTGAAAAACAGATGCCATTTGATTTGATGCCGTAACAGTCTAATCTAATGCAGCAAGTCTTGTAATTCTATGTACAAGTTTTGTGGATTTTATATAGACTAAATATGTTGCCACTGATTACTAGAAAATATTTTACTCCCTTCCCTCCCACCTGCTTAGACGTGGTAGCTAATCTAGTTTAGGGTGTGCTGACAAACACAAACCTCTACGGTCATTAAAAACTCACGCTGAAGGAGTGTTTCCTTTCAGGCAAAACTTATGATTCCAAAAGCGATGGGAGTCTCCATGGCAACCAGCATGCAGATGATGGTCCTTGTCCTCTAAACCAGGGAAGAGTCAAACCTGCTACTGAAGAATCACGGATTAGAAATGTTCGCTCTAATTTTTGCACTTTACTCTAAGTTTGTTACTTTTTACATTAAACAGAGCAATTTTATTATAATTTAGTGCATTTTGCTGTTGTGGGACTGATTTTGCATATCAGATACCACATGATTTTGTAAAAAAAAAACCAAAATACAAGAAAAAGACATTGCATCACAGGTTTCAGCAAAAAGAAAACAATGGAGGATATATATTTTTTTTAATCGATCTACACGTGCCATATAATACCCCCACTGGGGAATGAAACCACCACAAGAAGCTTTGAAGACCTATTTTTCAGTCTTTGAATATCCCTATGTAAAAATCACTTTTTTTGGTATGTCATGCAGCAAATTCAGAAAGAGGTGACTCATCCAGCTAGAAATATTCCTACTGAAATGAGCACTTGCCATAAAAGAAACATTCCCTGAAGTGACCATCTGTCTTGACTTGAGCACAGCCAACAACTTCTCCATGTAAGGTTAGCAGAGTTTGATGTACATTTTAAGCGTGATGACAGTTTGATCTCCTAACGGGTCTTTTATTGGATAAAGGCATCATGCAGTAGAAGTGCAAAATAGAGCTAATACAACCTGGTTTTTTCCATCCAGAAGAGAAAATTCTGTGTACTTTATAGCTTACAGCAGTAAAAACCCATCTGTAACCTTCGAACCAGCCATCCGTGCGGTGCTTAGATGGTCATAGAAGGAGACACACATAGTGGAGTTACACAGCATCAAATTCATCACAACACTGAAGGACTGTTCAAGGCCTGTGAACTGTTTGAGACTGTCAAACGAGTTGCCAGTTTGTTTCTCATTTTCTCACCCCAGCTAGACAAAAATAAACTCTCAGGACTAGAGAGGGAGCCTGTCAGTTCTGGAATTAATGTTGTTAGCGTCATTGAAAATAACAGTGTTAAAAATCAACATCACTTACCTGGTGTCAGAGGCTCCTCAGCTGAATGACTTCCATGCCACTATATTCTTAGATTAAGACTGATCAGAAATGGCAGAGAACAATTGAAGTTCAGCTGTCAGGGATTTAAGATGTGGGAGCATAAATACAATGGATATAAAGGTTGTGGACAATTCGGCACATCATAAATTGTGCTCTCGCTCCCATAAACAGAGCTTGGAGTAGGTGGAATGTACTTGCACTGGGTGACTTTGACAGGAGATGCACCCTGCACACCAATTTATTACCTTTGGGCAAGGGTTCGCTGTCTAAGGATGCAAGCACGGGACCCATTTGAACTTTGAGCAAGAACTCATTGGAGAAGATGATGTTACTCCTCTGTTACAGTCTGGAGCATCACATTTCCACCTCTGTGTCTGCGGCAAGAGTAAGGCTCTTTAAACACCAGACAGAGAGGTAAGATTGATGAAAGGCATCTCCTCCTCTCTATAATATAACAAGATGAAATGTCACCTGGTTAGATTTTCTTTTTAAATCTCTGAGGCAGTAACTCCCTTGTCTGGGTGCTCTACAGCTCTGTCTACATTAGCAAGTACTGCAGACCAGAAGAGGAGGATATGTAGAGTGAAACCATCAGTGCTATTTGTCCACACTGTAGATATTGCAGAGGGCTTGCTAGTGTGGTCCCACTCACTGAATATGTGCTAGCTTTTGGAGTACTCACCTTACAAGCACATCCTCTGACTTGGTTTCATCCAGAAGATATCCATTCGTGTGCTTTGAGACCACTCTACAGTGTGAAACAAAGTACGGTAAGTGGGTTTGACCAGGAAATTCAGTCAGGAGGGTGCTCCTGACTCTGAAATGCTGATGTAGACACATCCTTTAACATTAACACTTTCCACAGTATAACTGAGTAGCACCATTCTGGGCGAGTGCAGTTTTATGAAAGGCAGGATTGGTTTATTTATCTAGGCACTGTTCATTATTTTGGGGAGGGCAAGATCTACTGTAGATGAAGATGGATCTATAGATTATTATCGTCAAGTTGGATATCAAGATTTGAAACATTTGACTGTGTGCTACCCTCAGACACACAATGTCTAAATTTCACCTTCATCCTTGGTTACTCCTCCCCATGGTCCCAGTGCTCATGGCTTTGCACTTAGGCATTATGAACACAGCTTTAAAAAGACTTTCCTAAGAAAGATAACACCCAACTTCTTCCTCACTTACAATGATTTAAACATGAAAAAACAGTGAAATCAGCACTATCCCATTGATCCAAGTTGAGAATCAACTGTGACAAGACTTCTTTGATTCCAACATAGAGACACGTTTCACTACTCTTTAGTCCTGCTGATGGAACGGAGAACACAACATTTAACAGCTGGCAGTGGTGGACTCTGTCTTTATCAGCATTTGCTATGGAGATTTAAAGCAGCTTAGCCCCAAGCACAAGCCTGACACAGGAGTGCACACCCCTCAGTGGCCAGTGCTAATGCAGGAGGGAACATCTTGCTGTCTCAGCTGCTCCAGCAATCCCATCATTGTATGGCTGAATACGACTGATCATCTCTCCAAAAGGAATGTCTTCCAATTGGAAATGCTCTGCAATCCAACAAGCCTGGCCATTGGTGACTGGGTCTTGGTATATTCCAGAGTGGTTTCAGGTAGAAGCCCAGGGCTCCTCTGAACTCGTATGGATCCTCTTGGCAAGAAGAAAGAAAAGGATCATGGCTTAATTGCTGCCTGTATCTTTCTGCCCAAATTTTAACACTTGCTTTGCTTATTCCTGCCCTTTTTGCACTGAACAATCTATGAATGTTTAATATTGCAATGTTTTAATTGCCAGTAAGTGCTCCATGGTAAGTGACTTCATGCTGTACTGTGGTAAAACTGATGTGCTAAGTGGTTTCTCTGTGGCATCTGCTACAATCTGGTTCTCTTGGAGATGCAGAGCTAGGTCAAATCTGCACAACTGCTTTTAAAAATTAATGTGCCTGTGCATCATCATGTATTCTTAAATCTTTGGGCACTGCTAAAGACTGCAAAAGTATCACTCAAAAATAAATCTTTCCATTAATATACTGTTGGCCATTTGTCAATGATTACTTCGATTCCTTTCCCTCTTTTCCCTTCCATCTTTTCTGTTAATTTTCTCTATGAGCATACAAAAGTTTAAGGCTGTAATATCTATAATAAATGTCCGGTGAGTTTAATTTCTAGACCATACACAAAGTTATAGGTATTTGTGTGACATCAGAATCCGCAGCCTACTACAAGTAACACTGTCATATGGTTACTAATACATGGTCTTAGTGTCAGTGACCTATGGACATTGAATTAACACAAAAGGAGTGGGAGAAGTGCATTCCCATTGCTGCTTCATGGAAGCTGAGGCTTAGAAAACTTAAAAGTTGATATTTTTTTAAAGCTGTCTAGAGCATATGGAATCCCAAATCCCATTAAATCTGGTGTTCAACCATGAATTTTCAAAAGTGCTTGGGTAAATCAAAGGTCCAGATTTTCAAAGACATTTGTTGTTACTTTGCTAAGTGAAATCAACTGGATTTAGATACTTATCTGAACGTGTATGCAACGTCCTGTTTCTTACAATGAAGCTTTCATTAAAACATTTACAAACCACTTCCCTGTGAATGCCTTCTGAAATAAGCTGTTCGGAAAACTTTCCAAACTGTAACCTCATTTGCTGGAAATCACCAATTCATTACTTCTGACATTACAATGCAACTCTGTATGGACCCAAGCTGAAAATAAAATCCACAAACAAAATAGCAGTGAAATTGAAATTATTACTTCATTGGTGAGAATATATTAGAAATGTACTTGAATATACAAAACATGGTGAATTTCAAAATGAAAAAAGGAGCACAGATTTTTGTACAATATTACATATAATCCAGCAGGGATTTTTTTCCACCAGGTCTCTGCTTTCATTTTTGAAGGCTCGAGTTTATGAACAGACAATGAGATGAAAATCCTCTTTAAAGTTATTAGTACAAACATCTACTATTCATGCATTCTCTGTGCAATATCCAGTTTTCAGTGCTGCCTGTACATAAAGAAATAGCCATGTGCAGTATTTTTGGTCCATAAATACTTGTAATCAAAACAATTATGCGGGACACTATCTTTACTCATATGACTATAGCCATCAAGTACTACTTATTTTTTACAAGCGGTTTGTAGTTCTCTCTCACATTTATTTTGCATCTGCTTGCTAAGTTTCTGATAATAATTCTTGATCCAAGCCATGCTCAGAAGACATTCTTGAAAAAATCTGATATTAAAAATTCTTGCCATTTTGACTTGGTGTATGGTCTCTAGTCTCTGACCAGATGAACACAGCAGGTCAGAAACAGATTTGCAGTCATATTTGCATATTGATTTTTACTTGTTTTCCGCTGCAATCCCTTAGAGATGAGCCCCAAAATGGACATAAACAGTCATTGCCAAGCTTTGCAGAAATTCAGAGTATTGTTTAAGAGAGTATTATGGATTTGTTCTCTTTGCTATATTAGTATTGTTAAGTTTCAAAGTTTCACACGCAGAGAAAACCTCACAGGCTCCTTAACAGCTCTTACTTTGTCATTTGCATCAAATACCTGTCTGATAAGGGAATCAGCAAAACACAAGCAGTGACATGGTTTCCACTATTTGTGACAAACACATCAAAACCAGCTTCCACATCCAATTTGCAGCAATCCTAAGGTGAGGGATCCTTGAGACATGTTGCACAGAAGCTACTGTGTGGAGGTACCTTTGCTATCATGTGGCTGCATCGTGGTGCTCAGGGTTCCAGCTGGCTTTGGCGTGGCTTCCATTTCCTTGCTGAACATCAGGGCAGTGACCCGACACACAGGCTGGGTGATTCTCTGCAGGCACCCTGCCAGAGCGTTTTGCAGGGAAGGAACCTGACACGCAGCTATCATTTAAGGCCAATTTATCTCAAGAATCAATGGGCCTTTAAAAATTCACCAGCTCACATATCCTTTTCAGTGATGGTGGTTAACTGTTTTGTGCTCTGATTTTGTGGGCTTTTGAGAGAACCTTGATTTTCAGCATATGATGACATATCCACTGGTAAGAGGAAACTAACGGCCTTTACTTTACCCCTGGAGAAAAACAAGAAAGCATTATGAGGATTAAAAATGTATAAAATATGTCAAGAAACTAAAAAAAACCCAACACCCTAGCAAGCAAAATGTAAATGCATTCAGCACTTGCATGCTGCATGGAGGCAGGATTTCATGCCCGGTTGGGATGAAGCTCACATGGTCTTCCCAAGGGACCGAGCATAGTTTGCCTGTCTGCTGGAAGCATCTGCCTTTTTCCATCGATCCTTACAGCTCCTTACCAGCACCTGACCCTTAGGGTGCACATGCACCCACATGTACCCAGGGGGTCCTTCAGTGGCTTTGTTGTGTATTGTGTCAGTAGCCATCTCTGCAAGCGGGTGTGAGAACAGTGGTTTCCAAGTGGTGAGTGTACTTTTGACAAATTACACTGACACCGACAAATTACTCTGTGAAAGCAGAGGAACATGCTCCGTTGTGTGTCCTGCAAGTGGGTGGTTGGCCAGTGGGAGGATTGGGTTTTGCAGAGTTTTGGTTTTTGTTGTGACTCTCCTCTGCAATCACTGTCAGTTCACTCAGACCCTTGAGGAACACTATTATTTTCCTTTCCAATAAAGGAAAATAATGGAACTATGGAAGTTTCTTGATGGTTACAGGGGAGTGTCCTGCAGGGTGGTGGACCTCTACAATTTCCTTGCCCCTTCTCACCTGCCAGCTAGACCTGTCCCTGGAAGGTGAAACTATCAAGCCTGAACGCCCCCAATGATTCCATTTGCACTAAATGTGCCTTGTTCATTTTGGAATTTTACTATACTATTCCTGAAAACAATTCCCAGCCTCTCCTATCCTGCCTAGTGTATTAAAATATTTAGTCTTTTTTATTTACCCAAAAAATTGGAAATTATGGTATAAATAACGCTTTAGCATATATGAATGAAAATGTCATAGACATGCGAATTAGTGAATATTTCTTAGCAGTGCTGTCATTTTATTACTTGGATGCAATGGCACTCTAGATAAATCCAAGGATAAATCATCCTCTAAAGAGTTAATTTTAAAGCAGAAATATTCAACATCACATACAGGATTATAGCTTTGGAACAAAATGTGAGAAAACTACAATAAACAAAGAAGAGGAAAACCTGTCATGGCTCAGCATGCTGGGAAGGGAAAATGTGATCGCTGAAAAAATTAAGCTTAATTAGCTCGCTGAACTCATTGCCACAAATTATCCCACTAGTTAAAAGCTTACTAAGGTTTCCACCTATATTAGACTTTTGTGTATATAAGGGAAACATCCACCATTTTGACCAGAAAATATATTAATTTTTTTTCTTATAAGAAACACAAAGCTTCATCCTTCAGGATATGACCCAGTCTGTAGAGGGGGGTGGGTGAAAAGCCTTCCCATGGCCCTTTCTTCTCCTGAAGCAGCAACACTGAGTGGACATGAGGCATGGTGCCACACTCACTGCTGCTCAGAGCTGACCAGGCAGCTCTAAAGATACCGATAAAACAATAAGCACAGTTCCTGTCGCTGCTGGGTAACTGGTGCTCTGGAACATGTAGGTCCCAAGGCATTAGTTGTAACTGATCTACGTTGCTATTCCGATTGCTGTGAAAGCTGTTGTTCCCCTTATGAGAAAGTGGCAGCATTTGTCATTGCCATCCCTGCTACTGCAGACCGACCCCATGTTTCCTAACAGCACACACAGGAGGTGGCTTCAGGGCAAACCTCTCAGAAGCTTTATGTGCACTGACATTCTGAAGTTTCCCTGAACCCATATGCCGAGATCCAGAGTTCCAGGGTCAGGGTGCTTTTGAAAACAATACGAGTTCCCTGCCAGGGCCTAAATTTAGGTGTTTAAATGCTGTAAAACATCTGTCCTGAAACGCCCTTACAAGCAGACGTGGGTGGCTGTGAGAGCTTGACCTCGTTGCCCGCTCCAGCACCTCAGCGAGGAGCGGGGCTGCTGGCCGGGTTTGCAGGGGGACAGCCTCTCCTCAGAGAGCAGAGACACTCTGGGCTTGTCCAGCAGCCATTTCACCCCATCTGAAGCTGTCCTGAGAATATTTTTCTCAAGGCTGAAGGCATTAACTGGTAATGCTTTGGTTGCAGGGGAAAGATGACACAGTACACACAAATCCATGGGCCATATTAATCCCACTTTCAAAAGCATAGTTCGGAGTTCCTCGATATCTCCATGCTTTTTGTACAAAGTTTAAAAAGCCCTTTCAAGCTTAGCTTGTCAACCTGCAAAACCCTGAGTGGCTTCAAGGGGGAGAAGATTCCAACCCCTTCACTCCCCCCTCAGCCCCTCCTTTCTATAGCAGATTTAAACTGCTAACACTGACAATCTTCACACATTGCAAGGAGGAGCAGGACATCTTTCCCATCTGCTCAATGGCCGTGTACATTCAATTTGGCTGATAATGAACTAAAACCCAAAGCATTAATAATTATTAGCTGAAACTGGCAACTAGCCCAGGCAGCTGATGGTGTGAAGGCAAATTGAACCCACCTGCACTTATAGATGTGCTCCTGGAACAGCTTCATCTTTCTGGAATGGCTGTTGGAGAGACAGTTGGCCAGCGATTTTTCAAGCCCTTTCTCCTCTCCGCCGGCGAGCTGTGTTGTGGTAGGAAGGGCTGGTGGCTGGGCACTGCCTGGTACCTCCGGGAGCCCATTGCTTGGGGGCCTCTTGTGGGACCTCACACCAGAAGAAGCGGGTGCTGGCAAAGTGGTGGAGTAGCGCCGCACCGTCATGGTGGTATCTGAGCAGCAGAGATAAAAGCAGAGCTAGGAACAATAATAATAATGAGAACTCAAATATTCCCTGTGTATTTTTTTATCACTTTCTTTTGGCTCAATCAAGTTTTGTACATGGGGAGGCCAAAAGGCAGAGGAGGCCAAACAGCCCCTTTGGGGGTTTGCCCTAGAAGGCAGCTAGAGAGGAAAAGCCACAAGGTTGGAAAGCACTTTGCACATCATTCATGCTCACCAAAAGACCAGTCAGCTATTCCCAAGCTGATGACTTCCATAGCCACCAGCAGCCCCAGTTTCAGTGCACTGGGCTCAGCGGGCTTAGCAGTAGGCATTATTCATGGCTTTATGTAAAGCAATTAGCACTGTTCAGCCTCTCATCTCGTTCATTTTCGTAGACTTGTCTCTGTCAAAATTCGTGGGCGCATTTTTCTACAGCCCAGGCCTCTCCTGGAGGCCGGTTCACAGCTGAGGCTAGAATGGCCACAGGATCTGTGGGGCTCATGGATGGTAACGGCAGCTGCAACCCACAGCACACACCCTACTCATGCCAAGAAGTTGCATTAGCGAAGCAGTTTTCCAGGTGACAGACACAGACAAGGAGGTGACAGGCCTCAAGCATGTGCAATACCCAACAGCCTGACCCTGCCAACAGCCACAGCCAATTCTAGATAACGAATTCTCAGAAAGCAACATTTTGTTCTAATTCTTGCTTCATTAAATACTTCAGAAGTCCCAACCAGAATTCATTAACTGAGAAATATTTCCATTTTGCCCCTCTGATCTGTGAGGAGATAGTATTCCTATACATTGGCCCCTCTCTCCCTCAGCCTAAACTAACTGCATTATCTGCAAAAACAAACTGCACATCTGGCGTGATGCATGCAACCCACTAT